CCCCTGAGCATCACCGGGTGTGATCCAAAAAGCCCCGCCCCCCCTAAAAAAATAACAACCAAGAATAATTATAGTCAATGCTCATCAACTATTTTGTTTTGGGCCAACCCCAGCAGTGCTCAGGGCTGACTCCTGGTTCGGTGCTCAGGGATCACTCCTGAAGAGCTCTGGAGATCCTATGGGGTGCCGTGGATGCAACCTGGGTTAGCCGCGGGCAAGGCAAGTGTCCTACCCACTGGTCCATCTCTCCAGCCCTATCATTAACTGTCTCTTAGGAAGTTGATGATGGGAGGCTGGAGTAGTAGTCCAGTGGGTAGGGCGCTTGTCTTGCACATGGCCAACCTGGGTTCGATCCCCGGAATTCCATAGGGTCTTCCTACCACAAGCATTGCCAGGAGTGATTCCTGAGCACCACCACGTGTGCCCCCCGCCCCCCCTAAAAACAAAGAAAGTTAGTTCAGGCTGGTCTGGAGAGATGGCACAGTGGGAGGGCACTTGCCTTGTACCCAGCTGACCTGGGTTCGATCCTCAGTGCTGCCTAGGGTTCCCCCTAAACATCAAAATAAGTAAAATCACAGATGATGATGCTTGTATGGCACTTAAAGGAAGGGAACTTTGAGCTGTGGGAAGTTGAAAGAGGAAGGTGCCAGCCTGTCACGCTTAGTGGTGAAGCAACCAGGCAGGTGCGGGGAAAGGAAACCCCAGCCCTGGCGGTGAAGTCATCGCTCCAAGGAAACCCCGTCTCACACCCACCTCCAGACCTCCAGAGCCGATTTCCATCGCCAGGAAAACGCACAGCGACGAGGAATAAGTTAAAATGACACTGTGAGGGGTAGGGGTGACAGCACAGCAGGGAGGGCGTTTCTCTTGCACACGGCCGACCTGGGTTCGATCCCTGGCATCCCATAGGGTCCCCTGAGCACCACCAGGAGTAGTTCCAGAGTGCATGAGCCAGGAGTCAGCCCTGAGCATCATCGGGTGTGACTCAAAAAGGGAAAAAAAAGTGACACCATGGAGCAACAGGCAAAACCCTGACACGGACACCAGTCCTCAGGGGCCAGGGAAGGATGCTGGTTCTGGTTCTAAGAGAATTTCTGAGGCAGAAACAGCAGCCTGGGTTGGGTGAGGATGGGAACAAGGCTGGGGTCAGGGGCAGTTTTTTTTGTGCTTTTTGGGTCACACCAGCGATGCACAGGAGTTGCTCCTGGTTCATGCACTCAAGAATTACTCCTGGCGGTGCTCAGGGGACCATATGGGATGTTGGGAATTGAACCTAGTTCGGCTGCGTGCAAGGCAAACGCCCTACCCGCTGTGCTATTGCCCCAGCCCCTCGGGGGCAGTTTTGAGATCATGGAGACACTGAGGCAGATGTACTGTGATGTCATTATTTCCCATGTAAACAGTGATCAGGGCATAATGGTTAGAAAGCCCCAGTGACCACGTCTTTTTTCTTGTTTGTTTGGGTCACAGGTGCCGAAGGCTGGTCCTGAGTGAACAGGCCTGAAGCGAGGGTGCCATAAGGAATAAAGAAATAAGGAAAGAGGCAGACATAAGAGAGAAAAAGCATGGGAACAGGGGGCTAACAGTTGCGTGGATGGAGAACCCTGACTGTCCTCAGCTTGCTGTATTTATGGCTCAGGACCAGTAAGCATTAGAACAACAAACTAATGTTCTTTAGTCGATTAGACTTTTACATAGCTGTGGCTGTTGGTCAAATATAAACAGGTAGGGGGCTGGAGCCACAGTGCAGTGGGGAAGGCATTTGCCTTGCGTGCAGCCAACCTGGGTTTGATCCCCAGCATCCCATAGGGTCCCCTGAGCACCACCAGGAGTAATTTCTGAGTGCAGAGTCAGGAGGAACCCCTGAGCATCGCCAGGTGTGACCCAAAAAGACAAAAAAAAACCCAAACTAAAAATAATAAATATAAATAAATAAAAACAGTTTTAGTGATAGCACAGCAGGTAGGGCGTTTGCCTTGCATGCAGCCTACCCAGGTTTGATTCCTCCGCCCCTCTCGGAGAGCCCGGCAAGCTACTGCTACCAAGAGTATCTTACCGGCACGACAAAGCCTGGCAAGCTGCCCGTGACGTATTTGATATGCCAAAAACAGTAACAACAAGTCTCACAATTTGTTGTGAGATGTTACTGGTGCTGGCTTGAGCAAATCGATGAACAAAGGGAGGACTGTGCTACAGTTAAGCATAAATATATAAGTATGGGTTTAGCTGAATATAAACACCAACAGATGTAAAGTGCTTCCTTCTTCCAGGAGATCTGCCCAGGGCGGCACTCACTCCATCTCGGGGCTCCTGCATTCTGGATTCTGGTCCCCAACACCAAGGGGTTACTCCAGGCTCTGTGGTCAGGGCTTACTCCTGGCAGGAGTATGAAGGACCATATGTAGTACCAGGGATTGAACCGGGATCAGCCCGAGTGCCCAGTGTTTAAAATCCCCACATAGGACCGGAGTGATAGTACAGTGGGGAGGACTCTTGGCCTGGATGCAGCCACCTGGATTCCATCCCCCTAGTCCCCCGCACTACCAGGAGTGATCCCTGAGCACAGAGCCAGGAGTCAATCTATGCACTGCTGGGTGTGGCCTGAAAACCAAAACCAAAAAATTCCCACAGACTTGATATCAGGGTGGGTAGTGTGACTTGATGACAGAGATGTGTGTATGTGTGTGTATGTGTATGTGTGTATGTGTGTATATATATGTGTGTGTGTATGCTGAAGTAATAGCACAGCAGTAGGGCGTTTGCCTTGCGTGCAGCCAGCCTGGCCGAGCTGGGTTCGATTCCTCCGTCCCTCTTGGAGAGCCTGGCAGACTACCGAGAGTATTCAATATGCCAAACACAGTAACAAGAAGTCTAACAATGGAGACGTTACTGGGCCCGCTCGAGCAAATCGATGAACAACGGGATGACAGTGTTTGTTTTATATATGTGTGTATGGATATATGTGTGTATGTGTGTATATATGTGTGTATATGTATATGTGTATGTATGTATATGTGTGCATGTGTTGCGTGTGTGTCTGTTCCTCTGTCTCTGCTTATGCTTGGAAACTTCTTCCAGAGAAGAGTCAATCAAAGATGCTGCAAGGTGGGGTCCATGCTCAGGGGCAGCTCAGAGGCAGCTTCGACCTTGCCAAGTGGACACGGGTCAGGCCTGGGCTTGAATCCGGTTTCTAACTCACCTGTGTCCGTGTGAGGCCAGGGGCTCTGCTGTGTGGGGTCCTCCCGTGTCACTACTCGGTACCTCTCCTGCCAGCTGCAGCCAGATGTGCATGTGCCCCGCTGCCAACCTTGCCCCACCCAACCAAGGCCACTTGCCCACCGAGGCACGACAGAAACACGGCAAGGGGCACGATTTGGGGGGCGAGGTGGGAGGGGGGAGAGGAAGGTGCAGAGCGTAATTACCACAGTGCGGCTCTAAGGCAGAGCAACGTGAACTGCGGTGGAGCGCGCCCACGCATCGGTGGGTGTGATCTCTCCCCCGCACTGCTGGCCGCCGGGAGCTCTCTGGGCAGAAGAGTTTTAGTGGGAAGAAAGAAATCTCGGGGCTCAGGTCCTCCGCCTGAGACCACCGGCTGCGTGTCTGCGGACAGAGGAGACCCCCCTCCCCGCGCCTGAGACCGAGGAGCCGGTGGGGGGGGGGTCTCCGAGCTGGTGCGCGCCTGCGCGCTCGAGGCGGGGAGCCAGCCCTGCTAAACCGCACGCACGCACGCACACACGCACGCATGCACACGTGTAGGGAGCACGCAAGCACGCAGTGGGTCGTGCAAACATGCATTGGGGCACGCACACAAACACGCAGCGGGGCACTCATGCACGCAGCGGGACACGCACGCACGCAGCAGGTGCATACACGCAGCGGGACACTCACGCACACTATGGGGTGCACGCGCACGCATGCACGCAACGGGGCATGCAAACACGCAGACACGCACTGGGGCACGCACGCACGCAGCGGGGCACGCATGCACAATCGGAACGAGCGGCAGTCCCTGTTAATCACAACTGTGGACACAGTTGCGTGTTGGGGACATGCAGGAGACCAGAAAGGAAGCATTGCGGTGGGGAGAGGAGGCGGGGGAGCTTGGGGCCTGGTCGGTTTCTGAGCTCACTTCCCCATCCAGAACATTCCCTGGGCCTGGACGGCGGCCAGACTCCAGCCGCCAGCGCCGACCTGTGGCCGGTCGGTGTCCACCCGGGGGTGGTTTGTGCTCCGGCCTCTCTGGCTTTCTGTCCCCCCCCCCCCCACGCCCCCGTGCATGGTGCAGAAGAAGCGGTGGGTGCATCCCTTTGGCCTCCCCTCCCCTGAGCCCCCAATGGGGGAGACACGGAGCCTCTCGGAGAGTGTGGGGGCGTCGGGGGTCTCACCCGGGCTGGGTGTGCCAACGTGGCACAAGCCCACGTGCCTGTCACCGGTCACATTTCCGTGCCACAAAGCTGATGAGCACGTGCCCCACCAGGACACCGCACGCGCCGGCCACCCCGTCCGTGTCAGAGCGAGGCGGAGATCCCGGTGCGCGGGTGGAGGGACAGGGGCCACGCGTGGGACGCGAGGGACACACCCTTCTGGCCTGCTGGCTTTCCTGCCCCTGCCTGGCCACTGTGTCCTCCCGTGGCGGCCCGGGCTGGGCTGACCGCCGAGTGTGCCCAGGTGAGCTCAGCCTCCACCCCGCCCACCCCCGGAGAGAGGAGGGGACACGGGTTCCCTGGTCCCCACCAGCGGCGCACCCCTGGGCGCAGATCTCACTTCCTTCCACACAGGATGTGTGTAGCCTCCCGGTGACGGACACCCGGGGTTTCCGTGCACGTACCTTCAGAGTCCGCAGCTTGCGGAAGAGGGCTGTGGGCTGGCAGAGCACTCCTGGGGGAGCATCACCCTCCCTCCCTCCGGCAGGGGCGCAGAGACGTGGCTGCCGCAGCCGCCAGGGACCACCCCGGGATCGTGGTGAGAACTGGATCCCTGGTTTCTCCTGCAGCCTAGTCATGTTTCTCCCTTTTGCCTGGGTCCTGCTGGGGCTGCTGTGGCTGGCCGGTAAGTCTGCCTCTGGGCTGTGGAGAGTGCTCAGGAGCCCAGAGAGGGAGGGGGTCGGAGCAACAGGATCACAGGGAGGGCACTGGACTTGCATGCAGGGGGGAACGGGTTCCATCTCCTGCACCTCCTATGGACCCGTGAGCCGGCCAGGAGTGATCCCCGAGGGCAGAGCCAGGAATAAGAAAACCCTGAGCACTGCCAGGTGTGGCCCCAAAATAAAATAAAAATTAAAAAAATGTGGGGGCTTGGGCCCGAGCAACAGCACAGCGGGTAGGGTGTTTGCCTTGCACGCAACCGACCTGGGTTCGATCCCCGGCATCCCATATGGTCCCCCAAGCATCGCCAGGAGTAATTCCTGAGTGCAGAGCCAGGAGTGACCCCTGAGCATTGCTGGGTGTGACATAAAAAGAAAAAAAAATGCGGGGGTTGGAGCGATAGCACAGCGGGGAGGGTGTTTGTCTTGTATGCCGGGGACGGGTTTGATTCCCAGCATCCCATAGAGTCCCCTGAGCACCGCCAGGGGTAATTCCTGAGCGCAGAGACAGGAGTGGCCCCTTTGCATCGCTGGATGTGACCCAAAAGGCAAAATAATAATAATAATAATAATAATTTTAAAATGCTAAGAGGGGTGGGAGTTTGTAGCAGGAAGGTTGGAGGAAGTTGAAGGGGCTGGGGAGGAGGGTGAGAGTTGCTGATGGGGTGTAACCATGGGCTGGGTTGGCTGGTGAAACTGTAGTGGGGGATGGTCCCCAACTGATCAGGGCCACTGCGGGCATAAAGGACAGTGTCCTATACCATGAAACTTGCATGTGCTTGGGAGCCTTGGGGGGAGGGGAGGTCCAGAGGATCCTTTTTTTTTCTTTTTGGGTCATACCCGGCGATACTCAGGGGTGACTCCTGGCTCTGCACTCAGGAATCACTCTTGGCGGTGCTTGGGGGACCTATGGGATGCCAGGGATGAACTCAGGTCGGCCATGTGCAAGGCAAATGCCCTGCCCGCTGTACGATTGCTTTGACTCTTTGCAGGCCTTCGTACTGTTGGAATGTTTGACTTGGAGCTCCAGGTTGTTTAGTTGCTCGTTTGTTTTTGGGGTTTTGGTTTTGTGGCTGATTAGGGGCTGTTCCTGCCGGTGCTGGGGGACCCTACGATGTCGGACCTGAGACTACTAGGTACTCTCGCTTGCCACGCTCTCTGTCTCTGTCTCTGTCTCTCTTTCTGTGACTTTTTTTTTTTAAAGACAGTGGGCCAGCAGATAGGGCGTTTGTCTTACACGCAGCCAACCCGGGTTCAATCCCCAGCATCCCATATGGTCCCCTGAGCACCATCAGGAGTAACTCCTGAGTGCATGAGCCAGGAATAACTCCTGAGCATCACTGGGTAGGACCATAAAGCAAAAAAAGCAAACAAAAAGAAAGAAAGAAAGAAAGAAAGAAAGAAAGAAAGACAGGTCCAGAGAGATAGTACAGTGATCCTTGGCACCCTAATCCCCACCAGGAATGATCCCTGAGTGCAGAGCCAGGAGTAAGTCCCAAGGCCCACAGCACTACCTGGTGTGACACCCCATCTCCCTAAAAAAAATGGGGGGATCAAAAGGAGGGGATATAGATTTGAGCCCCGCAAGCTGCCTCTGAGTAGTTTCAAACAGTGACACTTCATACCTGTTGTGAACCCCGGTTTCTGCGGCCAGCCTGAGTTTGATCGCCCAGGCCCCACCAGGAGTGAGCCTGGGGCCCCACTGGGTGTGTCCTCAAAACCAAAAAAAAAAAAAAAGGAAGAGAAAGAAATTAGGGTCCTGTACCTGGGTCACACTTATTTTTCTAGCTGACAATGGGCTGTTTTCCATTCACTACCCCGGCTCTTTCTGGCTGGGTCCCACATCCTCTTCATGTAGGCGGGTAGACAGGCCCGTGGCAATGATTTTCTGGGAAGTAATAAAGCCAGTAGCTCAAGGCTGCAAAGCTCTTCACCTGGCAGATACAGGAACTAAGGCCTGGTAAGGCTTCTCCTGGGACCAGCAACCCAGAGCGGGCTGGACACCCCCAGCAGGAACGAAGGCCCGGAAAGGAATCTCCGAGAGGACCATGGACCACTCCCAACCCTACCCCTTGGCAGCCACCCTAGCAATGGACTTTTCTATTTTTTTTTTGGAGGGGGGAGCGGTTATACTCAGTGATGCTGAGGGGTTCCTCCTGGCTCGGCACTTAGGAATCACTCCTGATGGTGCTCAGGGGACCCTCTAGGATGCTGGGGATGGAACCTGGGTCAGCAGTGTACAGGGCAAACCACCCTCCCTGATATACTATCGCTCGGGCCCCTAGCAACGGACTCTTACCTCGCTAGAAAGCACCATATAAGGTGGCTTGGGGGAAAAAAAAACCTGTAAAAGCCACCTGGAACAAAGGAATGACTCGCATATGCTGCCTGAGCCTTTGTACTGCTTGCACGCATGTAGGCAGGCACATGTGTCACCCGCATCATCTCCCTTCTGGAGCTATGTGCTGGGGCTCTCTCCATCTTTGGACAAGCCTGTGTTGTTCTCTCTTGAGCGTGTTACACTCTCTTCACTTTTCTCTCCATTTTATTTTTCCACTCCTGGTCTCCTGAAATTCCTTTCTGTGAAATAGAACAGATGCTTCGAAACCCCTGGGTAAAGTTTAGGATTGACTTTCTCATCCTGCAAAGAGCAATTCCAGGGATGGAGCGATAGCACAGCAGGGAGGGCGTTTGCCTTGCATGCGTCTGACCCGGGTTCAATTCCCAGCATCCCATAGGGTCCCCCTGAGCACCGCCAGGAGTAATTCCTGAGTGCATGAGCCAGGAGGAACCGCTGTGGAAAGCCGGGTGTGACCCAAGAAGAAAAAAAAAAGAAAGCAATTCCTCACTCCAGCCTAAGTCCGCGGTTCCCCGATTGATGGTGGGGGTGACTCCCATGGGGACATCAGTGTGGTTTGATGGCCCCCCCTGGTGGGGCTGGCAGGAGTGTGTGTGTGTGTGTGTGTGTGTGTGTGTGTGTGTGTGTGTGTAGGGGACTCTGGCCCGCACTGTGCAGGAGAAGCTCATCACAGACTATCAGCCCCATCCTTTCCTGCCAGTCCAGGGGTGGCAGAGGTGGTTGGAGAGGAAGTGACCGTCTCCCTCCTCCCCTGCTCACATAACCCACTGGTGGGGGCCCACCGACTTCACTCTCCTGGACCACAGGGGTGGGGCGTTCTGGAGTAAGCTCCCCACCCCTCCGCTGCTCCAGGAATGGGCCAGAAACGCCTGTTCTGACTCCAGCCCCGAGCTCCCCGGAGTGCGGCTCCCTATGCGTGCGGGGGCCTTCCTTGGGACCCTGATGCCCGGTCCCCCGCACCTCTACCCCGGGTTCAGACATTGGCGGCTTGGTCTCCCCGCCCCCCCCCCCCACCCTCAGCTTTTTCTGCCTCTCCCTTCAGGCGCCATGAACGGAGCCCAGGAGGTGGAGGTGGGGCGTGACGCCCACCTGCCCTGCGCCTACGCCCCCGGGCAGCCCGAGCGCCTGGTGCCCATGTGCTGGGGCCGGGGCGCCTGCCCGCTGCGGGGCTGCCCTGGGAGGCTGCTGAGGACGGATGGGAGGAGCGTGCAGGAGCAGGCCGACGCCAGGTACCAGCTGCGGGGCACCCTCCTCCGAGGAGACGTGTCGCTGACCATCGAAAGGGCGGGGCTGGGCGACAGTGGCCCCTACTGCTGCCGCATCCTGTTCCCGGGCCCCATGAACGACCAGAAGGTCACTGTGACACTGACCGTCAGGCCAGGTGCGTGCCTCTCGTGCCCAGGGAGGTGCCCTCAGACCTGATGTTCACCCGTGGGGTCTGTGGGGGGGGGGCGCAGAGGACAACAAGGGGGGCAACGGCATCAGGGACCTCCCGGAAATGCTTGGGAACCCCCCCAGCGAGAGAAACTGGTTAGGGGTGGGGTCTGCAAACTTCTCCTCCTTGTCCCTCGTGATACCATAGGGACAGACTGGGAGTGGGAGAGAGGGGGAGGGGGAGAGAAGGAGAGCAAGTAGGGGAGAGAGGAAGAGGGAGAGAGGGAGAGAGAGAAAGAGAGAGAGAGGGAGGAAGGGAGAGGAGAGGAAGAGAGGGAGAGAGAGATCACGAGTAGAGAGAGGGGGAGTGGGAGAGAGACAGTTGTATATTCATGCATGCAGGTGTGTGTGCGAGTATGTGTGCGGGTGTATGTGTGTGGGCATGTGAACGGGCATGTATGGGAGCGCATGCTGGTATACGCAGGTGTGTGCATGTGTGTGTGTGTGTGCACGCAGGCTTGTGCAGTCACATGTATGTGTGTGTGTGTGCAGGAGTGTGTGCAAGCTTGTGTGGATACAGGTGTGTGCATGCAGGCCTGTGTGGGTGTGTGCTAGTGTGTGTGTACGTGTGAGTATGCACGTATTTGTACGTGGGTGTGTGTTTATGTGTGTGCATGTGTGCAGGCATGCGTGAGTATGTGCAGGTGTGCTGCATGTATGTGCATTTGCAGACGTGCGTGTGGTGTGCGTGCGTGGGCATGTGTGTGTGTGTGCAGGTGCGTGTGTGTGCACATACATGCATGTGTGTGCGTGAAGGTGTGTGAATGAGTGCAGGTGTGTCTGTGCGCGCATGCAGGTGTGTGTGTGTGTGTGTGTGTGTGTGTGTGTGTGTGTGTGCAGGTGCTCGGAGCAGCGTAGGGAGCCTCACTCTCTCTGCTCCCCCCCAGCTGAGGCCGTCCTCACCACCACTGTGAACAGAGGCTTCACCATCCCGTGGGCACCCAGCGCAGAGGGACAAAGCCCAGGTCAGTGTGACTATGGGGGGAAGCTGGGGTGTGGTGGGGGCTGGGGGCAGGGGTTTGTCTATTGTTGGGGGGGGAGTTTTTTTGGTAGAGCACACCCAGCAGTGCTCAGGGCTGACTCCTGGCTCTGTGCTCAGGGATCACTCCTGGCAGGCTCAGAGGACCCTATGCAGTAGCGGGGGGGGGGGGGGGGGGGGACTGAGGCCACCTGTGTTTGTTATGGGAGCCTGAAACCTGTGTGACCTCTTTGCCGCCTTTGTGAGGGGGTTGAACACGGAGGGGTGTCGATTTGAGGAGAGGAGGCAGGGATGCTCCCCAGCTGGGATGGTGGAATTGGTGGGACATCCTGGAGGGGTGCTGGTCTCCAGGTAATACCTGTGAAGAGCAGAGACTGAAAATGGGTTCCCTTATTTTATTTGCTTGTTTATTTTTGGCTGGAGCGATAGCACAGCAGGTAGGGCGTTTGCCTTGCACGCGGCAGACCCTGGTTCGATTCCTCCATCCCTCTCGGAGAGCCCGGCAAGCTCCCGAGAGTATCCCACCTGCATGGCAGAGTCTGGCAAGGCTCCCCGTGGCATATTCGGTATGTGAAAAACAGTAACAACAGGTCTCACAATGGAGAGGTTACTGGTGCCTGCTCGAGGAAATTGGTGAACAATAGGAGGACAGTGCTACAGATTTTCTTGGGTTTTGCTTTAGTTTTTGTTTGGGGGCCCCACCGGGCAATGCTGAGGGCTGACTCCTGGCTCTGCGCTCAGGAATCACTCCTGGTGGGACTCAGGGGGCCCTGTTGGTAGGCCAGGGATGGAACCAGATGGGCTGTCTCTCCACCCCCAGGCGTGTGTTTTTATTTTTATTTATTTTTATTTATTTATTTATTTTGGTTTTTTGGGGTGGGTCACACCCGGCGATGCTCAGGGGTTACTTCTGGCTCATGCACTCAGGAATTACTCCTGGCGGTGCTCGGGGGACCCTATGGGATGCTGGGAATCGAACCCGAGTCGGCCATGTTGGCTGCGTGCAAGGCAAACGCCCTATCCGCTGTGCCATCGCTCCAGCCCTGGCATGTGTTTTTAAATTCAGGGAAAGCGCTGCTAACTGTCCCATTGTCTCTTTTTCCCTCCTTGGGGCAGGGACAGAGACGCTGGAGCTGCCCCGTGACAGAAATGGGTCGGTAAGTAGCTGTGAGCAGGCGTCCAGGCAGATTCCTTCCCTTCCTTCTCCTGGGGAGGGTGTGCCTCCGCCCCTCCCCCCTGCCACCCCTGTCCCCTGAGCCCCAGGAGCCTGCTGGGACCTGGGATCTAAAGGTCATGGCGAGGGTCAACTCCGTGCCTGAGACCAAGAGGAAGCCTGAGCATTGGTATTGGTTCTTTTTTTTTTTTTTTTTTTTTTTTTTTTTTTTTTTTTTTTTGCTTTTTGGGTCACACCCAGCGAGGCTCAGGGGTTCTTCCTGGCTCTGCACTCAGGAATTACTCCTGGCGGTGCATGGGGGACCCTATGGGATGCTGGGGATCGAACCCGGGTCGGCCGCATGCAAGGCATATGCCCTACCCACTGTACTATCACTCCAACCCCATCATCAACATCAACATCATCATCATCCTCATTTTGGTTTGGGGTCACACCCGGCGATGCTCAGGAATTACTCCTGCGGTGCTTGGGGGACCCTATGGGATGCTGGGGATTGAACCCGGGTCGACTGATTACAAACCCGCTGTACTATCACTCCAGCCCCGGTCCTTCTTTCTTTTTTCAACTTTTGGTTTGGGCTTTGGATTTTGGGTCTCACCCAGTGATGCTCAGGGCTGACACCTCCTGGCTCTGCACTCAGGGATCACTCCTGGCAGGGCGAGGGGCAAGGGGACCCTCAGGGGTGCCGGGGATCGAACCCAGGTCAACCACATAAAAGGCCAGCTTCCTCTGCGGTACCTTGGCTCCAGACCCCGCTTGGAGCTCTTTTGCTCGCTGCAGAGACCAAGCCTGACCCTTCATAGAGGGGGTTGAGATTTTTTTAAAATTTTTATTGAATCACCGTGAGCTATAGTTACAAAGCTTTCATGTTTGAGTTTCAGTCATACAATGATCCAACACCCACCCCTCCACCAGTGCACATTCCCCACCATCAATATCCCTAGTATCCCCCCTTTTCCACCTTCCCCCTGCCTCCCTGGCAGACAGTTTCCCCCCATCCTCTCTCTCTACTTTGGGGCATCATTTTTTGCAATACAGATCCTGAGAGGCCATCACGTTTGGTCCTTTATCTACTTTCAGCACACATCTCCCATCCCAAGCGATCCCTCCAACTATCATGGGCTTAGTGATCCCTTCTCTATTCCAGCTGCCTTCACCCTCAGCTCATGAGTCAGGCTTCCAATTATGGAGTAATGTTCCTGACCTCTGTGTTTACTGTCCTTGGGTGTCAGTCTCATATTATTTTATGTTCCACAAATGAGTGCAGTCATTCTATGTCTGTCCCTCTCTTCCTGACTCATTTCACTTAGCATGATACTCTCCATGACCATCCACTTATAAGCAGATTTCATGACCTCATCTCTCTTAACAGCTGCATAGTATTCCATTGTGTAGCTATACCAAAGTTCCTTTAACCAGTCTTCTGTTCTCGGGCACTCGGGTTTTATGGGTTCCCTTATTTTATTTGCTTATTTGTTTTTGGCTGGAGCGATAGCACAGTGGGTAGGACATTTGCCAGATTCTGGCTATTGTGAACAGTGCTGCAATGAACATACAGATGAAGATGTCATTTCTACCGTGCTTTTTTGCACCCTCGGGATATATTCCCAGAAGTGGCATTGCTGGGTCATATGGAAGGTCAATTTCTAGTTTTTTAATGAATGCCCATTGTTTTCCAAAAAGGCTGGACAAGTTGGCATTCCCACCAACAATAAAAGAGAGTCCGTTTCTCCCCACATCCATGACAACACTGGTTGCTCTTGTTCTTTTTGATGTATTCCAGTCTCTGTGGTATGAGATGATATCTCGTTGCTGTTTTGATTTGCATCTCCCTGATGATTACTGATGTAGAGCAAGTGGAAACAAACATAAACAAATGGGGCTACATTAAACTAAGAAACTTCTGCATCTCAAAAGAAACAGTGACCAAAAATACAGAGAGAGCCCACGGAATGGGAAAGAATATTTACCCAATACCCATTTAATAAGGGGTTAATATCCAGGATATACAAGACACTGGTCGAATAGTATAAGTAAAAAAAAAGCCCTCCTGGGGCTAGAGTTATAGCACAGCGGGGAGGGCGTTTGCCTTGCAAGAGGCCGACTCAGGTTCGATTCCCAGCATCCCATGTGGTCCCCTGAGCACCACCAGGAGTAATTCCTGAGTGCAGAGCCAGGAGTAACCCCTGAACATCACTGGGTGTGACCCAAAAAGAAGAAGAAGAAGAAAAAAAGAAATACAAATGGCCAAAAGGCACATAAAAAAATGCTCTACATCGCTATTCATTGGGATTGAGATTTCAGAGCCTGGCTGGCGCAACCTGTCCTGTCCCTCTATGCCCCTGAGCCCGGGCTCTGTTGGTGTTTTCGCAGTTTGGGGCCACGGTGGCCAGTGAACCGCCACCGGACGCTGGCGTCCCCCTTAGGACGGGCCTTTACATCTGGGCCGGGGTCTCGGCAGGCTTCCTGCTCATCTGCAGTGCTGTCATCCTCATAGGTGAGTTGTCACAGCCGCGTCTCCCTCCCAGGTGGGAACCTGAGAACACTCTGTGTGCAAGGGGTCCGGGTTCATCCCACGACCTGCCATCCCCCTGGGCTCTGGGAACGACCCCCGAGCATGGCTGGCTGTGTCATCAGCACCCACCTCTGCCCTCCCCAGCAAAGAGGCTGGATGTCTACCGGAAGGCAGATGTTTGGGTTGTGACCAGGTGGCGCTTGGGAGTTGCTTCTGGGATCACAGGGACCAGAAATTCATCCTCCGTCCGAGGCTTGTGCCCCAGACCCCAGGGTTTGCTCTGCCCTTCCAGCCCCTAAAGAGAACTCTAGCTGACTCCCCCCATCTTCTTTTTGGCTTTTTGGGTCATGCCCAGCGGGGTCCAGGGGTTACTCCTTGCTCAGCACTTAGGAATTACTCCTGGCAGTGCTCAGGAGACCCTATGGGATGCCGGGGATCAAACCCAGGTCAGCCGTGTGCAAGGTCAATGCCCTCCCTGCTGTGCTATTGCTCCAGCCCCAGCCCTAGCTCTCTTTCATCCTCTCCTGGCAGGTTTTGTTTCTTTTATTGGTTTGTTTTTGTTTGGGGACCAGCCCAGGGGTGCTTTACTCCTGACTCTGTACTCAGGGATTACCCTTGGAAGGGCTGGGGTTGGGGAGGGACCATATGAGATGCCGGGATTGAGCCTGGGAGGAGCACCGTGCAAAGCAAGCACCCCCCTGCCTCTGGGAAGTATGGCCCCCTGGGAAGTATGTTTTATTTATTTATTTATTTTGTATTTTAACGAATCACTGTGAGAAACAGTTACAAGTTTATAAACTTTTGTGATTTCTTTCTTTCTTTCTTTCCTTCTTTCTTTCTTTCTTTCTTTTTTTGCTTTTTGGGTCACACCCAGCGATGCACCGGGGTTACTCCTGGTTCATGCACTCAGGAATTACTCCTTGCCTTGCTCGGAGGATCATAAGGGATGCTAGGAATTGAACCCAGGTCAGGCTGTGTGCAAGGCAAATGCCCTACCCACTGCGCTATTGCTCCAGGACTCTTGTGATTATGTTTCAATGTTCGAACACCCATCCCTCCACCAGTGCCCATTCTCCATCACCAATGTCCCCAGTATCCCTCCCACCACCCCCACCCCTTCCCACCTGCCTCTGTGGCAGGCACATTCCCTCTTACTCTCTCTTCTTTTGGGTGTTAAGGTTTGCATTATAGGTACTAAGCAGCCACCATGTTTGGTCCATAGTCTACTTTCAGCACACATCTACCATGGGAAGTATGTGTTATCCCCATCTTGCGAGAACAGTGGTCCTCTCTATCCCAGTCACCAGAGGAGAAAAGTGTCTCCAGGAAACCAGTTTCCCCCATTCTCCAGAGTCCCCAAGATGCAAAGCAGGAATTCAGATCCAGTAGGTGGGGGGCCGGAGAGATAGTATAGTGGGTAGAGCGCTTGCCTTGCACAGGGTCCGCCTGTTTTTGATCCCCAGCATCCTCGGGCCCAGAGAACCCATGTGGGATGGGCTTGGGGGATCCTATGGGATGCCAGAGATCAAACCCAGGTTGTCCACATGCAAGGCAAGCCCCTGCTCATTGTATCAGCACTCCTGCCCCGGTTCTTTGGTATTGTTGATGTTCCATATACTGAGGGGCTAGAGCAATAGTACAGTGGTAGGGTGTGACCCCAGATTCAATTCCCAGCACCACACAGGGTCCCCAAAGCCCGCCAGGTGTGATCCCTGAGCACAGAGCCAGGAGGAAGCCCTGAGCCTTGCCGGGTGTGGCCCACAAAGCAATACAGAGAGAGAGGGAGGGGGGAGAGAGAGAGAGAGAGACAGAGACAGAGAGAGAGAAGAGGGAGGGAAAGGGAGGGAAGGAGAAGAAGAGAGAGAGGAAGAGAGAAAAAGAGGGAGGGAGAGAGGGAGAGGGAGAGGGGGAGAGAGAGAGATAGAGATAGAGAGAGAGAGAGAGAGAGAGAGAGAGAGAGAGAGAGAGGAGCAATAAAGATGTTCCAACTTATTTGCTCATCAAACCCCTGTTGGCCCTTAAGCTTGTATCTTGTTTGTCTGAAACTGTCTCTTTGGGGCTGGAGTGATGGTACAGCGGTTAGGGCGTTTGCCTTGCATGTGGCCGACTCGGGTTCAATTTCCAGCATCCCTTATGGTCCCCTGAGACTGCCAGAAGTAATTCATTCCTGAGTGCAAAGTCAGGAGTAACCCCTGTGCATCACCGGGTGTGACACGGAAAGCAAAAAAAAAAAAAAAAAAAGAAAAGAAAAAGAAAGAAACTGTCTTTTTTTGCTTGCTTTTTCCATTCTGAAGAGGCTGTGGTCTCTCTCAGTACTTCCTCTCTTTCTCTCCCCTCAAATCTAAGGAAGTTTCAGTAAAAAATATTTTGCTTCACTAAAAAGTAAAGGATGGGGGAGGAGTGATGGTCTAGTGGGGAGGGCGTTGGCCTTGCACGCAGCTGACCCGGGTTCGATCTCCAGCATCTCTTATGATCCCCTGAGCACCACCAGGAGTAATTCCTGAGTGCAGAGCCTGGAGTCACCCCTGAGCACCGCCAGGAGTAATTCCTGAGTGCAGAGCCTGGAGTCACCCCTGAGCACCGCCAGGAGTAATTCCTGAGTGCAGAGCCTGGAGTCACCCCTGAGCACCGCCAGGAGTAATTCCTGAGTGCAGAGCCTGGAGTCACCCCTGAGCACCGCCAGGAGTAATTCCTGAGTGCAGAGCCTGGAGTCACCCCTGAGCACCGCCAGGAGTAATTCCTGAGTGCAGAGCCTGGAGTCACCCCTGAGCACCGCCAGGAGTAATTCCTGAGTGCAGAGCCTGGAGTCACCCCTGAGCACCGCCAGGAGTAATTCCTGAGTGCAGAGCCTGGAGTCACCCCTGAGCACCGCCAGGAGTAATTCCTGAGTGCAGAGCCTGGAGTCACCCCTGAGCACCGCCAGGAGTAATTCCTGAGTGCAGAGCCTGGAGTCACCCCTGAGCACTGTGGGGTGTGACCCAAACATGAGAAAAGGGAAAAAAGAAAACGCTCAGACTGAGTGTTAGAAAATAGACCTCGGAAAGTAGAAGAGAAAGGAACTCCCTAGAGCCAGGAGGAACTCAGCGGAGAACTAAGTTAAAAGTAAGGGGTCTGTGCTCAGAAAATGGGATTCTTTGTGTTTCTTATCAAGTGTTCCAAAGACTGTGATTTCTGTCCTACTCACAGAATGGTTGGCTAATTTAGGGCCTTTTGTGCTGCTCTCAGAAGCTGACACCCTCTATGTACTGGGATTTATTCTTAGGAAGACTGCCCGGTCTGTTTATTGAAGGTCTATTTGGTTCTTTATTTCAACATCTGTGCAGGGATCGCCCATTATCTCTGTGGCGTCTAAGAGCTGGGGCAAAATTTATGCTCGGGAAAATGGCAAAATTGATGGTTTTGGGAGAGTGGAAACTACCCAGCTTCAGAGAGAACCCAGGATCTGGCAGGAAGGTCTGAAATGCAGAACCAAGTCAGCTTGATTTGATTGATTTGACCCTAACACGGTGGGCAAGGGAGGAACAGGCCCCCCTCCCTCCCCTGCTGGCTCTGGAGACCTCCCTTGAGAGCTAGGGAGGCCCTTTACTCCAGGGTGGCCAGGCCCAGTCTGGCCTGCAGCACACACGGAACTTTCCGAGTTATCTTTGAAAACTTTCTGGAAGATGCAGTGACTTTGTCCACCCAAACCAGAAATGCTGACACTTCTCTAACCAGCTCACCTAAATGATGATAATTCAGTTGTTCTCAAGGGTCGGGGGTGGGGGCAACAAACCTGGAGGTACTCGGGGACTACTCCTGCATCAGTGCTCAGGGGATACTCCTGCATCAGTGCTCAGGGCTCACTCCTGGTGGTGCTCAGGGGACTGTATGTGGTACCCAGCATTGAACTGAGGTCAGCTCATGCAGGGCGAGCTCCCTGTTCCTCTCCCCTCTTGGAGGCATTGCTAACCACCTTCCTCCTCCCCACTTCTCTTCCCTAGGGCATTCTCGCCGAAAAGAGAAGTTGCAGAATTCCAGGTAAGAAGAGCAGGTGGAATCTTGGAGGATCCTCCTCAAAAATCCTGTTTCTTTCTTTGAATTTCTTTGTCCTTTGTTTGTTGGGCCACACCATGCTGTACTCAGGGCTTACTCCTGGCTCTGAGTTTAGGGTGCGTGTGCGTGTGCGTGTATGTGTGTGTGTGTGTGTGTGTGTGTGTGTGAGTTGAGGGGGGCAGTGTATGTGGTGTCTAGGGCTTTGAGCTTAGGTTAGGTGTGTTTTTTGCGTGTGTGCATGCGTGTGTGTGTGTGTGTGTGTGTGTGTGTGTGTGTAGGTGTGTATGTTGAGTGACAGGGGCGATGTATGTGGTTTCATTGGGGTTAAGGTACTTGCTCCTGTTCTAACTATTCTAAGTGCCTTAAAAATAGTTCTTTCTTTCTGTCTGTCTGTCTTTCTTTTTTTTCTTTCCTTCTTTCTTTTTTTCCTTTTTTTTTTTTTTGGCTTTTTGGGTCACACTTGGTGATGCACAGAGGTTACTTCTGTTCCTCCTGGCTCTGCACTCAGGAATTATCCCTGGTAGTGCTCAGGGGACCGTATGGGATGCTGAGAATCGAACCCGGGTCGGCCGCGTACAAGGCAAATGCCCTACCTGCTATGCTATCACTCCAACCAACCTTTCTTTCTTTCTTTCTTTCTTTCTTTCTTTCTTTCTTTCTTTCTTTCTTTCTGTGCTTTTGGGTCACACCCAGCATTGCACAGGGGTTACTCCTGGCTCTGCTCTCAGGAATCACTCCTGGCAGTTCTTGGGGTACCCTATGGAATGCTGGGAATCAAACGCCCTACCTGCTGTGCTATTTCTCCAGCCCCCTTTTTTGTGTGTGCTCTTTCTTTTTTTTTGGGGGGGCGCACTTTCTGGGTCACACCAGGAGATGTTCAGGGCTAACTCCTGGCTCTGCACTCAGACCAGCAGTTTCTCCTGACCCATTTGGAAGGGTGGTTCTGACATCTCCATGCAGTGCCTAAATGTCTCAGATCCCCCTTCAATGGAGGAGGGTGGTGCAAGGAACAAGCAATTGGCCTGAGATAGAAGGCAAATGTTTGGCCCTGTTTGTTTTATTTATTTATTTGTTTGGTTTGTTTTGGGTTCACACCCAATGATGCGCAGGGCTGACTCTGGGCTCAACCTTCAGGGATCACTCCTGGCGGTGCTTAGGGGACCCTATGGGATGCCGGGGATTCAACCCGGGTCTGCCGCATGCACGGCAAATGCCCTCCCCACTGTATTGGCGCCCCATCCCCCTCCATATGCTGTATTTATGCCCGAGAACATTACGGTTAATTCTTGATTTCTTCATGGGGGTGCCACATGATGGAATTTTCTTTTTATTTCTTTTTTTAAAAAAATTTTTGGGTCACACCTGGCGATGCTCAGGGGTTACTCCTGGCTCATGAACTCAGGAATTACTCCTAGTAGTTCTCCAGGGACCCTTTGGGATGCTGGGAATAGAACCCAGGTCGGCCGCGTGCAAGGCACGCACCCTACCCACTGTGCTGTCCCTCCAGCCCCGTGGTTCTATCTAATCCTCTCCCTATCTCCCACCCTCCCTTCCCAGGTCAGGCCCCCACACTGGCCCGTGTCAGGCATCTGTTCCTGGCACATAAGTAGAACGGTTTGTCTCTTGGCTGGCTGTCCGGGAGTCACAGGACTCAGTGCCCACGTCTTCCTTCCACAGGCTCATCACATTAACAGAAGAGCCCCCGATAGGGCTGGCCAAAAGAGCCGTAGGAGAGGAGAACATCTACACCATCGAGGAGAATGTGTACGAGATAGAGGACCCCGACGAAAATTACAGCTCCATCGCGCCCCAGCCGCTGGACTGATGCCGGGCAGGCTGCCTCCTCGGCACATGGAACTGTTGGCTTGTTTTATGTCTGTTTTGTTTTGCTTTGAGCCACACCCGGTGGTGCTCAGGCTCTGAGCTTAACTCCTGGCTCTGTGCTCAGGATCACTCCTGGCAGGGCTCAGGGGACCCTATGGGATGCTGGGGATCGAAGTCAGGACAGCTGCATGCAGGGTAAACGCCCTCCCCACTGTGTTATCGCTCCAGCCCTGCAGTTACCTTTTATGAGAACTGTGGAAGTGAATCTCTGCCCTTAACCCCGAGCAGAGAGTCCCACGGAACTGCATCATGGCAGCTTGATCTGCCTGGACTGGCCTCCTCCCTGGTCCAGTCTGTAGCCTAGGTACTCAGCTCCTAGGCCGCCTGTGGTGTCCTTCTGTGTCTACAAGTTTTCGTGGAGAAAAGAGGTTCTTTTTTTTTTCTTTTAGTTTTTGGGCTACATCCAGTAATACTCAGGAGATCTCCCTGAGTGTCACCAGGAGTGATCCCTGAGCACGGAGCCAGGAGTAACCCCTGAGCACTGCCGGGTGTGGCCCCCAAAACTGAAAAGTAAACTAACAGAAAGTGAGCTGTTTGCCTTGCTTGGTAGATGCTGGTGTTGCACAGTGCCCAGCTGGCCACTGGCCCTTGGGGCCTGTTCGTGACCGGAAGGAGGATCCCGTCCGGTGCTTCCTTTGAGCTGGACACCGTTCTAATGCCTAGAAATAAGACAGCAGAGAAATAAGACAGCAGACAGAAACAACAGGACTCAACACTACCCTCACAAGGGGGCTGGAGCTGTAGTTCAGTGGGGAAGGTGTTTCCTTGGATATGGTTGACTCTAGTCAGCACCGTATATAGTGCCCTGAGCCCCTCCAGGAGTGATCCCCAAATGCAGAGCCAGGAGTAAGCCCAGAGCTTTGCTTTTTGGGTGTGGCAGAAGAAAGAAAGAAAGAAAGAAAGAGAGAGAGAGAAAGGGAAAGAAAGGGAAAGAAAGAAAGAAAGAAAGAAAGAAAGAAAGAAAGAAAGAAAGAAGTTCTTAAGGCCAGGAAGATTGCTCAATGGGTAGAGTGCCTGCGTTCCCTGCAGGTCTGATAAGAAAGAAAGAAAGAAAGAAAGAAAGAAAGAAAGAAAGAAGGAAAGAAAGAAAGAGAGGGAGGGAGGGAGGGAAAGAGAGAAAGAGAGAAAGAGAAAGAAAGGAAAGAAACAGAAAGGAAAAGAAAGGGAAAGAAAGAAAAAGGAAAGAAAGAAAAGAAAAGAAAGGAAGGAAGGAAGGAAGGAAGGAAGAGAGGTTCTCAAGGGCCAGGAAGATGGCTCAATGGGTAGAGCACATGCTTTCCCTGCAGGTCTGATCCCTAGTCTCATGGTTCCCTGAGCACAGAGCTGGGAGTTGCCCCTGAACACTGTCTGTATGTGGGCAGGTGGCCAAAAAACCCAGGACAATCAAATAAGAGAAAATAAAGAACAAAGGTTCTCAAGTTGGGTACATTGTTGTCACTAGTGGTTTTTTTTTGTTTGTTTTTGGTTTTTATTTTTTTGCCTTAACATATTCTGGAAGAGGACCAGAAAGTAGTAGGGATAAGTTTCTTGTCTTGCAAGCTACTGACTTTAGTGTGATCCCCAGGACCCCACAGGGTCCCCACAGCACCAGCAGGAGTGATCCCTGAGCACCTCAAGGTATGCTCCCCACCCTGAACAAATACTAATACAGTGACTGCCAGGGCCAAGAGTCCTGAGCAAACAACCATTTTTCCCTTCTGTGTGCTTTTCTGGCTGTCTGAAATGTTGTTTCTATTTCCTTCACTAATAAAAAAAAAATAAGACAAGTATTCTGCGCTGAGGGATCACTCCTGGTGGGGTTCGGGGGACCCTTGGAGGTACCGGGGATGGAAGCTGGGTCGGTTGTGTACAAGGTAAGCGCCCTCCCCACTGTACTATTGCTCCTACCCCTTCTTTATCTTTTAAAATCAACCAGGCTCAGAACTCCAGTGTTTCAACCTATCCAGAGCCCCGGGGACTAGATTCCTGCTACTCTCGTCCACTTCTTATTCTCTTCTGGTCAGCCAGTCCACTAGGCTTCCTCCCTGCTTCCAGAACAACCAGTCTGGGGGGCCAGAGTGATAGTCCAGCAGGGAAGGCATTTGCCTTGCATGAGGGTGACCCAGGTTTGATCCCCGGCATCCCATAAGGTCCCCTGAGTACCACCAGGAGTGATTCTTGAGTGCAGAACCAGGAGTCAGCTCTGAGCATTACCAGATATGACCCAAAAAGACAAACTAGCAAAAAAAAAAAAATAGACCTTTCTGGCTCTGCCCCCTCTGGAACCTTCTCTCAGATGCTCCCCAGCTTGTTCTGTCACTGGGCCCTGGTTCCTGACTGCCCTCCCTGCAGGACCCCTCCAACCCCTGCCTAGTCCATTCAGCTGTGATGTGCCGGTGGACTTGCACTTCAGACATTTACGTATCTATTTTTCTCTTCTCCCCGCCATAGAGTCAGCTCCTGTGCATTTCAACTCCCAGGTGCATTGCTTGACCTGTCCTGGCAAGTGTGGCTGGAGCAACTAAACGAACACGTGTCCACTGTGTTATGAAGCCAGGCCACAGCACAGAGCCACATGCACGCACACATACCCACCCACACACCCACACACACACACACACACACACACACACACGCATGCACACACACACACACAGATTCACATTCCCCCTTCAAGGAACTTCATGAGGTCCAGCTTATCGGCCTGATTCCAAGAGCAAGATTCTCACAGGAAGTTCACCATGTTCTGAATCACGGTGTTGTGTGAATATTCGTCCAGTTGGAGGCGCTGAGACAAGGAACTCGAGAGAAATTATATTTCATGGAGGGCCCGGATTCGCTCAGATCCTGTGACAAAGGAAGAGCGTCCCAAGATCTCCTTTTATTACCACCCTACAGTACACACCTCTAAAGGGCTCAGTACACTGAGGTCATCAGTAAAGAAGTTAACAAGAAAAACGTGCAAAGACAAAGAAGTTACAGGAAGAACATGCAAAGCAGAAAGCTTTTCTGGGCTACAAGCACCTGGAATCTGCATGTCAAAGAGGCTGGGCTAGCCTCTGGAATCTGCATCATGAAAACAAACAAGCTAAGCCAGCACCTGGATCTGTGAGAAGAGGAAGATGGACAATTTCAGCATACTGAAATTTATGAAATTGTTTACTGAAGGCAGCTTAAAGAAAAAGAGGTTTAGCCTCATCCAAACCAGTCAAGACACATGAGTAATCATGCCTGTTTTCATGGGGTCCTGTTCCTGCCCATTTGCGGGTCAGTCTACCTGGGCTCATCCTGATGGCCTAGTCCGGCCCCAACACCACGGAGAAAAGCATTTCTGGTAAGGTCTTCATTTGATCTATTTTAAAATATTTTCCCTTAACATACCTTTTTTGTCTTTATCACTTAGCCCTAAAACCCCAAGTTTGGGGGGCAGGGGTGGCAGTGCGGTTGTGTAGTGGGGAGGGCGCTTGCCTTGCATGTAGCTGACCCAGGTATCCCATAGGGTCCCCTCCAGGAAGAATTCCTGAGCATGGAGCCAGGAGTGATGCCTGAGTGCAGAGCCAGGAGTGAGCCCTGAGCACCACAGGGTGTGGCTTCCAAACCAAATGAACAAAAATCCAGGGTCAGAGAGAGATGGCTGAAGGACTGAGCTCTTGCTCTGCAGATATGACCCCCTGGGTGTCTGAGCACTGAGATGGGAGTAGCCAGGCATGACCCCCTTCCCTCCCAAACAAAACAAAAAGCACTGCCCACTCTCCTGGCAGGCTTCACTGTATCATTGTATCACTGTCATCCCATTGTTCATCGATTTACTCTAACGGGCACCAGTCACGTCTCCGTTTGTCCCAGCCCTGAGATTTCAGCAGCCTCTCCATACTCGTCTTTCCCAACGGTGCCGTATTGGAGGCTCTTTCAGGGTCAGGGGAATTAGACCCGTTATTGTTACTGTTTTGGGCATATCGAATATGCCACTGAGAGCTTTCCTGCCCACTCTCCACCCCCACAGGCTTAGGGACTGTAAATCAGGGAGTGCAGGAAGTGGAGAACCCAGATTCCAGCAGCCCTCCCCACACCCCAATCAATTTAAAGACCAGAACACAGTCAGCTTTGTAGAAATGTTTGCAGTGTAGACACTTGTATATTGATCAAAGCATTGTTTCTGAATTTTCCATCTTTCTTCATGCCATGCGGAGGGGGGGGGGGTGGGGGGGTGGGGAATGTCTGAATTAGCTGTAGGCAACTTGACTGCTTTCTCTCTCTCTCTCTCTCTCTCTCTCTCTCTGGCTTTTTGAGCCACACACAGCAGTGCTCAGGGCTGACTCCGTGCTCAGGGATCACTCCTGGTAGTGCTCCAGGCGACCCTGTATGGTACTGGGGATTGAACTTGGTTTGCCCACGTGTACTACCTCTCTGGAGCCCGATGCCTTCTTATCTTTCTTGGATAAAGGTGAGGCTGCTTAGGCTATGAAAAGTTGTACATGAGTGTAAGAGATTTTTTTTTGGAGGGGGGGGTTGTGGCCACCTCCAGAGATGCTCATGTTTACTCCTGACTTTGTGCACAAGATCCTGGAGAACTCCGGAGCCCATGTGGGATGCCAGGGATCGAACGCAGGCCGGCCGCCTGCAAGGCAAGCTCCCTGCCCGCTATGCTGTCTTTCCGGCCCCTATTTTTATTTTTTTCTTAATAAATGTCATTAAAAGGGAAAGAAAAGAAAACTTGTGCAAGAAAGAACGTGGGGTTCCCTGGAGAGAGAGGGGAGAGTCCCAGGAAGTTCAGTAACAGGGGAGCTCACCTGGCTGGGATGTCAGGGCCCTGGGGGCACCAGAATCAGAGTGCCCGCCTGGATTTTTTTTTTTTTTTTTTTTTTTTTTTGCGAAACGTTGGGTACGTGTTCTGGAAGCTGACGTGGGTCGGTGCTCATCAAACATTCCATGACCCATAAGTGGCCTCAGCCAGCTCCCTGC